GGGGAAAAAAAAGTGGAGCAGCTGGGACTCAAACTGGCACCCATACGGGATGCCAGCACTGCAGGTAGAGGCTTAACCTTCACTACAGCGCCAGCCCAGATTTATTTATTTATTTCAAAGGCAGAATCACAGAAAGAGAGAGAGAAAATGATCTTCCATCTTCATAGGCTGGTGCTAAATCCCACCTGCTAGGACAAAAACTGAAAATGCCAGATACTCTTTTTCCTAACACCACTTGAAGTCAAGACGTAGGTCTCTCCAGAGGGAGTCATGAAGAAGCTGGGATCATTAATTATTCATTTGAGTTTATCTGAGAGGCACAGTTTGACAAGCCTGCAGACCTACTTCAGTGTCAAGCAGAGTTCTGTGATCCTGGTTGAACAGTCTTATACCTCAGCCAGCATCACCAGTGGCTGGGAGGTGCAGCATCAGGCAGTGAGCCAACCTTAGCAGCAGATAGACAAAACCAGAGTGAACTTTGGTCCTGACCCCTGCTACACTCGTCTTAGCGGACTGTGGGCTCAGCATGTGATCTAGCAGTTACATTGACAGACACAGGACAAGGATTTTGAACCTACTACAGGCTCAGGAAGAGGCCAGCAGGGATAGATTACCCCTTTTTAGGCACATCCTCAGTTCATAGCGAACAATACACCAACTGCAGGTTTGGGACAAATTTGAGTTTGGGGAGTACTGTAGGACTGATCTTCAAAAACATTAACAGTGGACCTGGGCAAACCTTGACCTAGGGTGCTATGTGGTACTGAAATAGCAGAAGTATCCAAGGGCCCAGGGAAAATTAGCAGTTTAGAATTTCTAGAAGGACAGCCAAAAAAAAAAAAAAAGCCAGATTACTATAACTAATCCATCAATGTTCACATGATGCCATATGCCAACAGCATCAAGAACTTTCAGGGAAGAGCCAGCGTTGTGGTCCAACAGGTTAAGCTACTGCCTGCAATGCCAGCATCCCTTATTGGAGAGATGCCAGTTCAAGTGCGTTGCTCTGCTTTCTGATCCAGCTCCCTGTTAAGGCACTTGGGAAAGCAGCAGAAGATGCCCCACATACTTGGCCCCCTGCCAACCATGTGGATGGATTTCTAGGCTCCCAGCTTTTGCTGGGACCAGCCTTGGCCATTGCAGCCACAGGAGGAATGAACCAGCAGATGAAAGATCTCTTTCTCTGTCTTCCTCTCTCTGTGTCACTCTTTCAAATAAGTAAAATATATTTTTTCAACTTTATATTTTATTTATTATTTTTTGAGATGACATTTTTAGTTTACATTATAGTCAAAGGTTTAATATTCCACTAAATAAAGGGTTCAATAAATAAAAAGACCATAATTCAGCAGGAAACTAGACAAGGGCTATAAACAACATTCACAATCTGTTTTTCAACCAGTAAGACAGACAGACATATTTCAGTTTATAAAAACTTAAAACAATTATGTTGCAGAGGCTATCATAAACAAAACTAATAGGCAAATGATAAATTGGGGAAAATACTTATAAAATACATAACAGCTAATGGGTTAGTAATCATTACCAACATGCAAAGAGCTCTTTAAAAATTGGCAACAGACAAGCAACTGAATGGGAAATGGCTGCAGGATCTGAAAAGGGCATTCATGAGAACAAATGCAGATGGCCATGGGCATAAAGATGCCCAAGCTAACTGGTAATCAGAGAAAGGCACATTCCAGTAAAAAAAAAATAAATCACTCTACAGCCAAACAGATAAAAGAAAAGTTAGAAATAATACCAATTGCTGATAGGATGAGGAGGAAGAAATATAAATTGTGTAGAATTATTTTAGAAAGTTGCCTGGCAAATATTTAAACACTAAAAATACACACACACTTGGATCAACAAATCACACTCGGGAATATATCACATACAAATAAAGTCATCAATAAAACATTTATTGCAGCATTGCTCTTACTGCAAAAATCAAGAAACAAAAAAATGAATTTCCAGTAATACGGTATTAAATAATGGTATATCTATATTTGGAATAATAAGCAACCATTAAAAGAATTAATTTAAGTTGTACCAGCTGACTCAAAAACATGTTCCTGAATATATCTTTGAGTGATAAAAGTGCAGAAAAGGGCATACACCACAATTTCATTTTAAAAAAGCAAATACTGATCAAAGCTCAAGATATGTGTGCACTGAAGTAGGCACAATGTGTCCCTTTGTGTGTGTGAGAGAGAGAGACAGAGACAGAGACAGAGACAGAGAGAACATACAAAACAGCTTGCTAACACACATGACTTGAGAAGTCAGATAAGAATGCAGGACTTGGAAAGAAAGAATGAGCAGAATGAATAATACGATTCCATTTATGTTGATCACATTTATCAAAGACCTGGAATCAACATGGATTAGATAACGTGATTTGCATGAGCTTCCATTTAACACCCAGTCCCTATTCTTCAACTATCGCAGAATCATTAAGCATTTTCTTGACCAGTGAACTATCAGTTCCATGCAATGTAAGCCTCCCAATCCTTTGTGTATTTTGTAACAATCCTACTAAAAAATATTGTTTTCCATTAACTGTGAGTTTTTATTTTTTGAAAATGAATTTTTAATACCACTTTTCAAATTGGAGTGTGTTTTAACATACAAATGCTACCTATACAGAAAAGGAATTTGTAGAAATGAGGAGTTAATAATGATATGTTTACTGACCATTGGAATATCCACTAAACAAAAACATGTTACAGAAGAATATGCATGAAATATTCCATTTCAGTAACAAGAAGCAAAATCTTAATTATGGATATAAGCTTAATATTTCTATGACCAAGAAACATATGGAAAGTTTACAAAGCCATTGGCACAGGTGGCACATAAAGGGAAAGGAAACACAGAGGAAGGGGTAGATTACTTTTATATCTATGGTCTACTATTACATATGGTCTACTTTTATATCCCTCTGCATTGTATTACTTCACTTATAACAACAAGCAAAAAGTATTGCTTTTAAAATCTGAAAACATTAAGTAATGAAAACAAATTTAAATTGCAAACAACAAAATAAAGTAAATTGAGTGTTACTTAGTACTTACCTCATGGAGTCTGCTGTGAAGATTAAACAAAATAATTCAAGTAAAGTACTTAGCAGATTCCCCACATGCCAACTCCAGATGTTTGATAAATGTTAGCTAATTTTTATTCTAAAACACAGGTGAGGGTTGACATTTGGCCTAATGGTTAAGACATCAATAACTCATATCAGAGTACCTGGGCTTGATTCTCAGCTCCAGCTCCGAACTCCAGTTCCCCACCAAGGCAGATTCTGGGAGGGAGTAGTGATGGATCAAGTAGTTGGATTCCTACCATCCACATGGAACACTGGTAGGTATGAGCATTTGAGGACTGAACTAGCAAATGCAAGTGTGCCTCTCTCTCTTTCTCACTCTATGTATAGATTTGTATCTTAAATTTAAAAATAATAAATAAATTAAAGACTACAGAGAACAAAAGAAATTACTAAGCTAAAGAAACAATGCCTAAGAATATACAAGTACTTTTCCTAATATTACTGAAACTGGTCCTTTTTTCACTAAGGATGCATATTATGGTAATTATACACTTCAAAAAACACATTCTCATTGACAGTACAAATAAAATTACAATTAGATAAGCAAGGTACTTGTACAATAAAAAAGAGATGGCAATCTTTTTGCCTTGAATGCTACTTGAAGAACTTTTTTTTTTTTTTTTGATAGGCAGAGTGGACAGTGAGAGAGAGAGACAGAGAGAAAGGTCTTCCTTTGCCGTTGGTTCACTCTCCAATGGCCGCCGCGGCCGGCGCGCTGCAGCCGGCGCACCGCGCTGATCTGATGGCAGGAGCCAGGAGCCAGGTGCTTTTCCTGGTCTCCCATGGGGTGCAGGGCCCAAGCACTTGGGCCATCCTCCACTGCACTCCCTGGCCACAGCAGAGAGCTGGCCTGGAAGAGGGGCAACCGGGACAGAATCCGGTGCCCCGACCGGGACTAGAACCCGGTGTGCCGGCGCTGCAAGGCGGAGGATTAGCCTAGTGAGCTGCGGCGCCGGCCTTACTTGAAGAACTTTTAAGAACCATCCTGAGGCACTATGCTTCTGTTGCAACACTTGGAACCCTGGACATACCTGGGCCCTGGACACATCCCCTATGTGGGCAGAGATGCTACTGAACAAATTCATATACATTGGAAAGTAGCATAATAGTCTCCTGAGACCTGTCCACCAAGGAAATCCATTCCTAAACAGAAATTGCACTCCTTGGCTGCCAAGACCTGTCACCATCTGGAGCTCCAGATCCTCTGTGAGGCCATGGCTCTGTGTTACCTGATGGCCATGGACCTCAACAAAGGTCTACAAGGTGACCAAGAACATAAGCAAGACAAGGCACAGCTGCAGCTGTGAGCACTTCCGCAAGCAGAACAAGTTCATGTGGGACAAGATTTAGATGGTGTGTGGCTTTGCCCTATCTGAACACAGCTCTACAGAACTGCTCAAGGTCTCCAAGGACAAAAGGGCCTTCAAGATCATCAAGAAAAGGGTGGGAATGGAATCCATGTCAAGAGGAAGCATGAGAAGCTGAGCAGCATCCTGGCCACTACAAGGAAAGCTGCAGCCAAGAAGGATAGGGCCCCTGCAAGTCCCTCGCCCAAGCCCAGTGCTCTACTTCTATCCAGGTACTGGGAGGGAAGGAAGGGTCAGTCCACGGGACGGGGCCACAGAAGCAAGCAGCCAACAGATACTGGAAATATTTTTTAATCATAATAGTTGACACACACTAAAACACACACACACACGCACACACACACACACAGAAATTCTACTCCCAATTCTGGGAATTTCTCTGCTACCTTGTCAAAAAATATGTTGGCTTACTTATGATCTACAAACTAAATATAGCCCATAAAATACTATGCTTGTTGCCCAACAAAATATTAAAATAGCCTCACAAATTTTATGCATGTGTTATTAGTCTTAATACTCACATAGAATTGACTTTGTCTTCAGGGCCTTGAACTTGGCCTGTCACAGTGCCTTTGCTGGTATTCTTCACCCAGCCAACCACTCCTATTTTCTTAGCTTCACCCTCTGTATACTAGACAGGAAACACAAGAGAAAAGAAGTCCAGCATCAAAAGTTTGACTTTTATAAATTACATGATCCTAGTATTCAGAAAACATGAACTTGATGATCATTTTTTCCTAAAATAGCAGTCTATACCACCAAACTGTGTAGCTGATCTACTGTAACACCTCTATTTACAATAACCTTCACTTAAAGTGTTTCGTTGTTAAATTTCACTCTCAGTAAAAACAAGCACATTATGAAAAAATAAGCTCATAGGAATTAAATAAATAGTAGGAATTATTTCAGAAACAGTTTCTATGACATATGACATTTAGGGATTCATAAAATCGGCTGCATTGCTCTCATACATATTAACACAAAATTACACTGCTAATCTGAGTTCTAAAATGATTATCAATCCATAATTCTCAGAAATGGAGGAAAATATCTACTTATAAACAACAAAGCATTCACAGGCAGAAACACACTAAAACATCTTGAAATTTCCAACAAAAATGGAGAAAAAGAATTTCAATAGAAAATTAAACTAACAAAAACATTAACCTAGATATGCTGCCTTGCAGTTATTGTAGAGTAAAAGATTCTCATGTTTTCTTCTGGCTCTGGACTTACCACAGAAATGTTGCAACTGTCTATGGATAAATTTATCTCTCCTATTAATGTCATTTTTTATATTTCCTTTTCCCAGCTCTAAATTCAGTTTTATTACTAGAAAATAAAAAACTAGCAATATTTTGATTTTGAATTATTTTAACTACATCATATTAAAATTCTTATGAATTCACTCTATTAGAATTTTTTTTAAATGTGCTGTTCCTGTTTAGAGGTGAAGATAATCAAGACCTTTATACTACACAACAGAAGCTAAATGAGATAATAGAAACCAACATGATTACAGCTAGGATTGATGAGGAGATGGTTCTGAAAACTAAGTCAAGCTCTTACTACATAATAAATGGACAACCCAAATTATGAGTGATGGGGCTATCACAAAATACAGCCTTGTTGGTAGGAACATGTCTGAGCCCTCAGTAGTTGAGAACCACAGGTGCCTAATCAAGTAGGTAAAAAATGCACACTACAATTAACTTTTAGGAAGAGTATTTTTTTTAAACACATATCAACTTTTTTCTTATTATTCCCTAAACAATGCAGTATAATTATTTATGTAGCAATTGCACTGTACTAGGTATTACAGGTAATATAAACAGTATATGAGATAAACAGAAGGATTTCGTATGTTATTTGCAAGTATAATGACATTTATACTTATTAAAATCTGTGGATGGGGGTGGGAGGAAAAGGCGGTCCTGGAACCAATCCCCTAAGGACATTGAAGGATCACTTTATTTCCTTCTAGAATTTTCAATGCACTTGTAATATCATATGTATATCCATGTGTGATCATAATATATATACATTTTATACTTTCTTTGCTTGCCTAACAGTAACTATTTCCTTGCTATTAACTATCTGCTTCACCTATTTTTCCATTAACAGTGTTTCTGATTTATGGTTTTATGGAACATTTTTGCTTAGTCTTTTTAATATCTGTACTTCGTTCCTTACATGGTTACTACACAGCAGCAGCAGTGTTATGTCTTTAGCTACACATGCCTAAATGCTCCCTGAAAATCATGGGCTGATTTTTACACTCACTAACAGGAACGCCTAGCATCTTCACCAGAAACATTCAAATTTTGAAAACTTTATTTAAAAAAAAATAAAATACATAGAGAGATGAGACAATTAGAGTTCTCTTACCAGCTGGTTCACTTTCCAAATGCCTGCAACAGCCAGGGCTGGGGCCAGACCAAAGCCGGCAGCCAGAAGTCTATTCAGATCTCCCAAGTGTGGCAGGCACCCATGTACTTGAGCTGTCACCTCTTGCCTCCCAGGAGGACCATTAGAAGAAGCTGGAGTCAGAAGTAGGGCCAGGACTCCCACCAAGGCATTCCAATATGGGATGTGGACACCCCAAACAGGGGCATCTTAACCACTGTGCCAAATATCTACCCCAAAACTACTATTGTTAAATATATTTTGGAGGGCAGTGATGTGTAGTAGTAGGTTAAGCCTCTGCCTACTACACTGGGAACCCATCAGAGCACTGGTTTGAGTCCTGGATCCTCCACTTCTGATACAGCTCCATGCTAATGCGCTTGGGAAAGCAGTGGAAGGTGGCAAGTGCTTCAGACCCTGCCCTGATGTGGGAGTCCAGGAGGAATATCCAGGCTCCTGGCTTGGACTTGGCCCAGCCCCAGCTGTTGTGGCCACTTAGGGAGTGAACCAGCAGGTGAAAAATCTCTGTGTCTGTCTCTCCCTCTCTCTGTTACTCTGCCTTTCAAATAAATAAAAAATCTTTAAAAACAAAAATATTTCAGAAGCTACTAGCTATTCACGCAAAAACATAGAGAGAAAAATATAATTTGCTAACATGATCAACATCCATGTTTAAAAGTGCACTGTGGAATAGTAATGAGATTGATATTGTTCTACTGTATGAGGTACCACAGTTGCATTTATTTCCTATTTTTTTTTTTTTTTTTTGAGAATCCACTGAGGTCCTCTGAACTTGTCAGAACTTACTAATTCTTGCTGAATACTCTGAGATTCCAAAGAACCACATCGTTACATTTCTTTTAAGTTCTGTTGCTTACCTTTACACACAGGTACACACAATTTTCTATTCAATATCAGGCTGAGCAGTCTATCCATGTGAATTTCTTCCCTTTTTCCCCTCTCTTTGAGCATGGTGCCTCCATCACTTGGCAGAGTGATTAGAGTAAGTTTGCCTCCATCGCTAGGTAGAGTGGCAAGAATAAGTTTGCTTCCATTTGTCAAACTGGGGCTCATTATGATTTAACCTGAAACGACTTTTTTACAGCTGCAAGTGGTGGAGGAAAACGGCTAGACAACTACAAATCCTTGATTTCCTGGTCGTGATGAGGCAGGATACAGTGAGTAGGTGCCAAAAAGACTGGACTGAATTCCACCAGCCCCTCTGCTCTGAAGCAGCCTCAACTTTTGCTGTCAGGACAGGATTTCCCTACAGGACAACCTTCCAAAGTGAGTGGGATGCGTTTCTGTAACAGGTGTAGCCCACAAACATTTACAAAGAAAAAGACTGGCGGCCTTAAAGGCAAAGGTGAAGGTGCGCAGAGATGGAACCAAGCACTTTCCCAGCTCTTGGCCCTGCGCAGTGAGGTGCGAAGACTTTTAAGACAAGGAGTTCTTCCAGATGACCGGAAGCTGTGGAGGCCTCTTCCGGGTTCTGGCAAACCCGCCAGCCAGCAGTTTCTGAGTTTGTATAACCAGTGGCAGACTTTTCCAGCAACTGACACATCTGCTATTATGTTACTTTCCAGACAAGAGACAAGCTGGCTAAGAACCTTGTTTTCTTTTTCTCTTCATCCACGGACACTCAGCATTCTGACCAAGCAGCGCAGGATGGACGCCGTCAGTCATCAGCCCGGAAGCACTCGTGAGCTACGGCCTTGCAGCAGCTTCCGGTTGCCAAGGAAGAGCCAGATGAAGGGTGCCGCACCTGTAGTGAGTCGCCCGGCCAGATGAACCAGCGAGAAAGCTTTCAGGCCGTGCACGTCCGCGCGGGTCTCCTCAGGTCCACACTCACGCAGCTTCGCAGTTTCCCTCTCGGCAGCCCTCGCAAAGAGCTTCTGGTTGTTTGAAGGCCACAGGTCCTGAAAGCTGGCACATGCCCACACGCTACTGTTGAGGTCCAACAGCTCGGACGTCCCCAGGAGAAAACCATTTCAGCATGTGGAAGAGCACATCTTAGGGGAGACTCAAGATGGTTAGGTCTCGGCTCTCTTAGCCTTCACTTTGTAAGGAAACACTTGGCACACCTGTGGTAGACCATCCTGCCCCTTCCCAGCACCCTGTGGCACGGCCTGCCCACCTGTTAGCGCCTGAGCTCCCAGAAGAGATTATTTTTAAAAATAAAGAGTGATGAGAAGTTTTAACTGCTGAAAACCTCAAAACTACTTCCTTGTGCAACGCTAGCATTTTCCTCTGGCTGTGAGAGGGTTCATTCCATTCAGGATATGAGGAAAATCCTATACTTTATATTCAGTATACCCAACCAAAATGCTTAATTACCACCACTCCAAGAGCGGCACTTTTGAAAATCATTGAAAACATTAAAAACTAGGACCGTGGTAGTGTTGTTAATGGGCTATTTAAAAAGCAATAATAAACATGTTTTTATTTCTCTTGTAGCTTTTAAAATATGAACATTTTGGGGACCAGCACTGTGGCATAGCGGGTAAAGCCGCTGCCTGTAGTGCCGGCATCGAGTTCAGTTGCCAGTTCGAGTCCCAGCTGCTCCACTTCCAATCCAGTTTTCTGCGGTGGCCTGGGAAAGCAGTGGAAGATGGCCCGAATCCTTGGGCCCCTACACCCACGTGGGAGACCTGGAAGAAGCTCCTGGCTCCTGGCTGGCCACTGTGACCAGCTGGGGAGTGAACAAGCAGATGTTTGTCTCTTTCAAATAAATAAATCTTTTTTTTTTTAATGTGAACATTCTGTAAGCCTGTTCTTACATATATCTGCTTCAATGAGTCTCAGTTCCCTTTTAAATAACAGTCTTGTTCTGAAAGGCTGTTAGCTTTTCCTCATTCATTGTAGACAGCATCCAAAGGAAAATCCCAGAGGGACAAGTATGTGAACCCAGTGGTCACACACAATATGCAGTCAGTTCACCATGATTGCTGTGGTGCCAGTCTAACAAAGACTCTGTGACCTGACAGACTATATTTAAAGAAAGCTTTAACAAAAAATCCAATAATTTCAATGAAATATTTATTTCTTCATTTGTTGTCAAGTATAGGAAATAAGCAACCGACTAACATCAAGTATAAAATTCTCTGTGATTAAAAATAACAGCAGAAAATATGGCAATGAAAATAATAAGAAGATTGTATTGACTTACCATTCTGAAGCAAACACCTGTATGAAAGAAAGATAAAAAGAAATTTCAGTTTGACTCTCTTTAAAAATACATATATATTTTTTCAACTTAACTTTCATGTACTTATTAAATGATAAATAAATGAAGCCAAAGTTTAATGAAATTCTGAACTGCATATTCTATTTTAAAGTGCTAAATAAAACAAAATGGTTGGGGGACCAGCTTTATGGCAGTGGGTTAAGCTGCTACTTACAATGCTGGCATCCCATAATGGAGTACCAGTTCAAGTCCTAACTACTTTGCTTCTGATAAAGCTCTCTGCTAATATATATGGGAAAGCAGTGGATAATGGCCCAGGTACTGGGGTCCCCTGACATCCACAAGAGAGATCCAGATGGGATTTCTGAACCCTGGCTCCAGCCTGGTCCAAGCCTGGTTATTATAGCTATTTGGAGAGTAAATCCACATATTAATGATCTCTTATATGTGTGTGTGCTTGTTTCCCTTTGCTATGCTGTCTTTTAAATAAAAATTTTAAATGCTTATTAAATGGATAGTGAGTATATTTGGCATAAAATTTACCTATTTTCAGCTTTTAGAATTTCTTCTTTAAATACAAGTACTAAACTCAAGTTTAAGTGCAATGAAACTTTCTTGTTTTAATTTTACTTCTAGTTATAAGCCCAGTAAAGCATATATCAGAAATGAGATGCTTGACTATAACTTGGCTTCTGTAAATAATACTTGGAATCTCTCTGGTGTGGGCTACATTATGTTCATAACTTTGAGTCATATAAGTTTTAGTAGTATTACTGATCTTGGTTGTTTTCTCTATCTAGACTATAGTAGACCAGGGCATTCCATATTGACCAACTACCTTGGTTACCCAACCTGCAATACTGGGAGCTCCATCTCAGATAAGAATGTTATAGGATTCCATTACCAGAGTTGTTTGGGACAAAATATTGATATATGGAGAACTGAGCTGAAAAGTAAAGGCAAAACAAGAGGCAGTTTGGTTCCTAGCTATCAAGTATGTGCACTTATGATTTGGGACCCTTTAGCAGAAAAGGAAAGCCTTCTTACATCTGTTTTCAGAATTGTAGCAATGACCCTAAGTACGAAACCTCAGGTTATTCCTGAAAATTGCTACTTGGAAGACACTTAATCCAAAAAGATGCACAGAACAAACATCTTTGGGATAGATATGCCCCGCCTCTGAGCTCCTTCCTAGGAGTAGGGCCTAAGTGAAGAAACATTAGGAGTGTGGCAGGGGCAGAAATACAATGCTCATTAGTACCAAAATCGCAACTTCATTTTTATTCTCACCTAGAACAGAAAATTTCCTTTTTGTACCCAAAAAGCCAAATGATTTTTAAAAACACATTTCAAGGAGAGGACATAGCAATTAAAAACACACTGAAATCGGCCAGCACCGTGGCTCACTTGGTTAATCCTCCGCCTGTGGCGAGAGCATCCTATATGGGCGCCAGGTTCTAGTCCTGTTTGCTCCTCTTCCAGTCCAGCTCTCTGCTGTGGCCCAGAAAGGCAGTGGAGGATGGCCCAAGTGCTTGGGTGCCTGCACCCGCGTGGGAGACCAGGAAAAGCACCTGTCTCTTGGCTTCGGATTGGTGTAGCATGCCGGCCGTGACGGCCATTTGGGTGTGAACCAACAGAAGGAAGACCTTTTTCTCTGTCTCTCTCTCTCTCTCATTGTCTAACTCTGCCTGTCTAATAAACACACACACACACACACACACACACACACACACACACACTGAAAGCTGAAAGGGATGAATGTATCAGTTAAGACACAGCTTGTGAAGCCTACATCCCATATAAGACTGCCTGAGTTGAAGTCCTGGTTCCACTGTCCATTCTAGCCTCCTGCTAAACACCCTGGGAAGCAGCAGGTGATGGTTCAAGTACTTGGGTCCCTACCACCAATGTGGGAGACCAGGATTGAGTTCCTGGCTGGGAATCAATCAATCTCCCCCCATTCCAATAACTCCCTTTCAAATAACTAGCTAAATAAAAATGCTATTTCAAAATACATTGGAGGGCCCGGTGCTGTGGCATAGCGGGCAAAGCTGCCGCCTGCAGTGTCGGCGTACCATATGGGTGCCGGTTCAAGTCCCAGCTGCTCTATTTCCTATCCAGTTCTCTGCTATGCCCTGGGAAAGCGGTAAAAGATGGCACAAGTCCTTGGGCCCCTACACCCGCATGGAAGATCAGGAAGAAGCTCCTGGCTCCAGGCTTCGCATCAGCACAGATCTGGCCATTGTGGCTAACTGGGGAGTGAACCAGTGGATGGAATATTTCTCTTTTTCTCTCTCTGCCTCTCCTTTTCTCTCTGTGTAACTCTGACTTTCAAATAAATAAATTTAAAAAAAAATAAATTGGAATAAATAAGCCATTGTAGAGCCACACAAATGGTATTACTCAGCAATAAAAGGAATCAAATATGGATACAAGCAATAACATGTATGAATCACAAACACATGATGTAAACGAAACAAGCCAGACTGACACATAATATGTAATTCCACATTCTGGAAAAGGCAAAACTACAGAGACAGAGAACTGACTGCTGGTTGTCAAGACCTGGGAGAGAGTGCTATAAAGCGGCACAAAGGAATTTTTTGGAGTGATGGGACTGTTGCATATCTCAGTTGTAGCAGTAGATACATGACTGCATGCAGTTGTCAAAATCACCGTATTGTATACTAAAAATAGTGAATGTCATTGAAAGTAAACTATAACTTCATTGAAAAAACATTCAAAAAATTGCTTTGGGAAGTCCCAGGGGCTAGATTAAACTGATCTCCACAGAGATCAAAAGATACTGCTTTTTTTTTTTTTTTTTTTTTTTTTTTTTGACAGGCAAAGTGGATAGTGAGAGAGACAGAGAGAAAGGTCTTCCTTTTGCCATTGGTTCACCCTCCAATGGCCGCCGCGGCCAGCGCGCTGCGGCCAGCGCACCGTGCTGATCCGATGGCAGGAGCCAGGTACTTATCCTGGTCTCCCATGGGGTGCAGGGTCCAAGTCTACCCACAGCAACTATACAGAAGAGATCAGTAGACTAGATATTTTATAAGCAGATTTATAATAATGTTTCCTGACATTAGTGTATTATAGTATCGAATGACTATGAATAAAAAGAGCAGTGAAGCAATAAAAAAGGACAGTAACACAAATAGAATTTTTACAGGGCTATAAAATATTGCAAAAGATATATATATAAGATGTGCAGGAATGATGAGTAGCAAGTATTGATCTTCAGGAGACTCAGAAAGGCAATCTGTTATATAAATGGAGGAAAAGACATTAAGTAGTAGACATAAAAAAAAGTGGCAGAAAATTCAAGAAAGTTCAGGTCAACCAGACAATGCTGAAAAGAGAGAACTAGACAAAAGTGTATAGTCTTCTTAATACTTTATCCCTTTTATTATTATTTTTGTTCTACTTAATACTATTGGTTGAATTCTGTAATTAACACACAATTATTCTTAGGTGTTTAAATTTAACTGAAAAGTGATCCCTGTTAAACATAAGAGTGGGAATAAGAGAGGGAGGAGATGTACAACTTGGGACATGCTCAATCGGACTTGCCCCAAATGGCAGAGTTAGAAACGTGCCAGGGGATTCCAATTCAATCCCATCAAGGTGGCATCTACCAATGCCATCTCACTAGTCCAAGTGATCAATTTCAGTACACAATTGATCACACTGATAGGTCTAAGAGTCAAGGGGATCACATAAACAAGACTAGTGTCTGCAAATACTAACTGATAGAACAAAAAACGGAGAGAACGATCCAACATGGGAAGCGGGATACACAGCAGACTCATAGAATAGCAGATGTCCTAAACAGCACTCTGGCCTCAGAATTAGCCCTTAAGGCATTTGGATCTGGCTGAAGAGCCCATGAGAGTATTTTAGGCATGGAAAGCCAAGACACTTTGGCAAAAAAAAAAAAAAAAACCCTAAATGAAAGATCTCTGCAAGTGAGATCCCAGCGCAAAGAACGGGCCATCAAAGAAGGAGGTATCTTTCTCTGAAGGGAGGAGAGAACTTCCACTTTGACTATGACCTTGTATAATACGATCAGAGTCGGCAAACTCAAGAGGCTTCCATAGCCTTGGCAACTCATGACAAGAGCCTAGGGTGATTTTGACGCCATAAACAAGAGTGTCAATTTGTCAAGTCAACAACAGGAGTCACTGTGCACTTACTCTTCATGTAGGATCTTTGTCCTTAGTGTGCTGTACATTGAGATTTAATGCTATAACTAGTACTCAAACAGTATTTTTCACTTTATGTTTCTGTGTGGGTGCAAACTGTTGAAATCTTTACTTAATATATACTGAATTGATCTTCTGTATATAAAGAGAATTGAAAATGAATCTTGATGTGAATGGAATGGGAGAGGGAGCGGGAGATGGGAGGGTTGTGGGTGGCAGGGAAGTTATGGGGGGGAAAGCCACTGTAATCCATAAGCTGTACTTTGGAAATTTATATTTACCAAATAAAAGTTTAAAAAAGCGTATAGTCTTTTTATCACGAGTGGGGGAATTTCAGAACATAGTAATATGCTGACCAAGTAAGTAGATTGAAAGTTTTGGTCAAGGCCATATTATGTATATTCCCCTCTGAGTTCCTCAACAGTGAGCAGCTTCATATATTAGGATAATGAAAAGAGTAAGTACATGCAACTGAAGTAAACATAAATTGGAAACACGATCTCTCCCCTATTCAGAGTGGTCCATGAACCAGCAGTACCAATAGCACCTTAGAGGTTTTTTTTTTAAATTTTATTTATTTTTATCTACTTGAAAGCCAGAGAGAGAGAGAGAGAGAGACTGGGAGACAGAGAGAGATTGGGAGACAGAGAGACAGACAGATCTTTCATTTACTGGTTTACTCCCCAAAAGCCCACAACAGCCAGGGCTGGAATTCCATCCCAGTATCCAACATGGATGGCAGGGGCCCAAGCACTTGTGCCACCATTTGCTTTCTCCCAAGATACATTAGCAGG